GCAGGCAGATTTCTGAGTTCTAGGCTAGCCTGGTCTACAGAGTAAGTTCCTGGACAGCCAAGGGTACACAAAGGGACCTTGTCTCAAAAAAGAAAAAAAAAAACACTATTGATTATATTGGGAAGTGGGCCTCTGGGAGGTGATTAAATCACGAAGGCAGAGAATGGGGTCAGAGTCTTTATAAAAGAAGTCCTGGAGAACTACCTTGTCTCTCCTCCACCCTGTGAGGAGGACACTCTGAGAAGGGACACTTTTTGAAGCGGAAAAACAGGCTCTTACCAGATACCAAAACTCCAGAGCGTTATCTTGGGTTTCCCAGCCTCCAGACTATGAGCGGTAAACCTCTGTCATCCGAAAGACTCGGAGTCCATGAGGCACTCGTTGCGACAGCGGCCCAAATAGACTGAAACGGCCACTGTTCTTCCACAGTAACTACTCTTGAGCCGCTGAGACCCAAACACCCGGCAGCAACAACTCCAGCACGGAAAGGTTTATTTTGGTTCACCGTGTCGGTGGACCGAGGTGGGGAAGGCACAGGTGTGGGCACGTGCCGCAGAGGCCGTTCACGTCGAAGTCAGCCAAGGAGCAGAAAGCAGGACGGGAGCCAGGCACAGGCTTCAAGGGCCTGTCCCTAGCCGCTTCACCAGCTGGGCCTCGCTCCTATAGGTGTTACAGCCTCCCAGAGCGCTCCAGCAGCTGCGGAAAAGGCATTCAAAACATGAGCCTACGGGGAACCCTCAGAGAACCGTAACACCGGAATCAATTCTCTTAGCTACTCCTCAGCATGTCACTACCACATACATAGTGTGGTAGTTTGAATGAGATGCCCCCACAGCCTCATGTGTATGAATGCTTGGTTCCCCGGTTGGTGGAACTGCCCCAGAAGGCACTTGTCGGGGGGAGGTGTGTCACTGGGGCTGGGCTTTGAGGTTTCAAAAGCCCTGATCATTCCCAGTTGGCTCTCTTCTGCGCCATAAGCTCTCAGTTCCTGCTCAGGTGCCGTGCCTGCCTGCCGTGATGGTCACGGGCTCTCTAACTAACCCTCTGAGATGGTCAGCCCCAAATTGAGTCTTCTAGAAGCTGCCTCATCACAGAAATTGAAAAGTAAAAGTAACTGAAACACATAGCAGTTAAATAAATACGCCTGCTACCTTTAAATTTTTTTCCCCCTTTGAGACATGATCTTACAATGTAGCCCTGGCTGGCCTAGAACTTGCTAGGTAGAGTAGGCTGGCCTGAAACTCTGAGTCCTGAATACTGGGGTTAAAGGTGTGCACCACCATACCTATGTGGCTTTAATAAAGGATTTTTATCAGTACTGGATAAATGAGGTTAAGAGCATCCTGCTCTTGCAGAGGTCCTAAATTCAGTTACCAGCACCTACTTCAGAGGAGCTACAGCTCACAACCACCTGTAATTCCAACTCCACGGAATTGCGCCCTCTCCTGGAATCCACAGGGACAGGTATTTAGATGACATTCATTTACACAGACATACACAAGTATAAAAATAAATCCTTAAAAATGATTTTTTGTTGTTTTTTTTTTGTTGTTTGTTTGTTTTTCAAGATAGGGTTTCTCTGTGTAGCCCTGGCTGTCCTGAAACTTGCTCTGTAGACCAGGCTGGCCTCGAACTCACAGAGATCTGCCTGGCTCTGCCTCCCGAGTGCTGGGACTAAAGGTGTGCACCACCACCACCACCACCACCACGACCACCACCACCACCACCACCTGGCACAATTCATTTTAATTTTGAGGCAGAGTCTAAGGCAGCTGAGGATGTCCTTTATTTTTTATTTAAGTCTTATGGGGGGGGTCTTAGAGTTTCTATTACTGAGATGAAACACCATGATCAAAGCAACTTGGGGAGGAAAGGGTTTATTCAGCTCACACTTCCATATCACTCACTGTTCATCACTGAAGGAAGTCAGGACAGGACTCAAGCAGGACAGGAACCTGGAGGCAGGAGCTGATGCAGAGGCCATGGAGGGAGCTGCCTCCTGGCTTGCTCCTTGTGGCTTGCTCAGTCTGCTTGCTCTCTTTCTTTTTTTTTTTAAAAGATTATTTATTTTGTATATAGTGTTCTGTCTGAATGTATGTCTGCACTGCATATCAGAAGAGGGCACCAGAACACATTATAGATGGTTGTGAGCCACCATGTGGGTGCTGGGAATTGAACCCAGGTCCTCTGGAAGAGCAGCCAGTGCTCTCAACCTCTGAGCCATCTCTCCAGGCCCAGGCCCACCAGCCTCCTTTCTTTCTTTCTTTCTTTCTTTCTTTCTTTCTTTCTTTCTTTCTTTCTTTCTTTCTTTCTTTCTTTTCTCTCTCT